CCCCCAATCCCCTCCCCCTCACCAATTTATCCTGCCGATTCTTACCTTTAGGCCTACGCAACTTTTGATACTCGCATTATCTGAACAGACAGACCCCCCCCCTAAACTGCCCCTCCCCCCTCCCCCTCCACAATTTATCGTACTGATCCTTACCTGTAGGTTTACGCCACTTTCGATACTTCGATAAACAGGCGGGGGAAGAACGGACAAAAAGGTTGTCGGGACAATGTTATTCCTGAACTAATGCTCCTCCGCTGTTCTGCCGAATGCGTCAGAGAGGTTTCATCACAAATGTGCGACACCAAGTGCTCAGCCTCATAGGTCCCGTCACTGTGTCTGCACAACATCGAGTACTAAACGTTGCAGGTACCTTTTCTGTGCCTTCTCTGCGACCCTGTCCCGAAAACGCTTGTGCACTCTTGTACATCACGAAGCTCCCTTAAGAGCAGATGGTAACAATTATGCAGCTGCTGCATGAAGAGATCTATAACAGACAAAAAAGTGAAGCCACCAAGGTGGGAATGAGGAAAGCAAAGCACAAGCACACATGAAGACACTGACGGATACCCTCATATATCCCCAGTGAGTGTACGCCCAGTGAAAGATAGGGGAGGCAGTCTCACATCGCACTTCCAAAGATATTATTTATTTACATGCAGTTGGGCCTTGCAACACCTATGCATCAGATTAGATTTCCGCAGGAATGGAGAGAACAAGCACACACACACACACACACACACACACACACACACACACACACACGAGTGACAAAGAGCGACAAAGAGCGACAAAGAGCGACAAAGAGTGAGGAGAAGAAGAGGGAGAGGGAGAAGAAGAAGAAGGAGAAGAAGAACAGGAAGAGGAAGAGGAAGAGGGAGCAGGAGCACGAGCAGGAGAGCAAGAGGAAGAGGGAGGAGGGAGCAGGAGCAGGACGAGGAGAAGAAGAAGAGGAAGAGGAAGAGGAAGAGGGAGCAAGAAGAGGATGGAACGAAGATGGAGCAGGAGGAGGAGAAAGCGAAGAGGAGGAAGAAGACAAAGGAAGAAGAAGAAGAAGAAGAAGAAGAAGAAGAAGAAGAAGAAGAAGAAGGGAAAACCATGTGAGACTGATGGCACATGGTGCATTCTTATGCTTACATCACAACCGAAAAAAGAGCAAAGAATATCCAACTGTGGAAGTCGGTGACTTCACTACACAAGCAGACTGGAAAGGGGGAGTAAAAAAAAAAAAAGGTAACAATTATGTGATGGGGTCACTTCATGCCGCCGAGCTTCGTTCACTGTTATCAAGAGACAAGTAGGTGCTGAGTAGGGGGGACCGACCCCTGTCCTCTCCCTCCCTCCCTCCCTCCCTCCTCTACCTTCATCTTTCCTTGATTCTCAATGGCCCTTTTGCTAACCCCTTACTGCTCCTATAGGTTTCATCCATTGCACTATTTGATTGCTTCTCACCCGCCACGGAGATATTACCTCCCTCCCTTGTGATGCTCATGCTGTTGATCCCCTGGTTTCGGTCTGGGTCAGCTCCTTGATCAGTGAGTGGACTTGGGCAGCTTGCTCCTGTTCCACGAACTCTGCCAATCTCCTCTGTTCGTGCCGATCTAACGGTTCCTGCTCCAGGTCCAGTGTCCGTTCCTGTGGATCCAGCCAGTTTGCCCGTCACCTGCTTTCCACTTCCACCACCCCTTGCACCTGCAAGGTTTGCGTCAGAAACTACACGACCCAATCCCTTAGTTGACAGGTCATTCATGTCAGATTCACCGTCTAGTTGTTCGGTTACTGCAAGCTGCCGTTTGTCGTCGTCTTTCACGATACCAACGTTTTTTCGCACAATTCCGGCTCCTCCACCCCCTCCTCGTGCCTTTGCTTGCCCAGCAGACGCTGCCTTCAGCTCTTTTGAAGCGGCTGCTTTTTTATGTTTGGTGACCTTCGGAGGCTTTGGAGGTTTTCCCTCTATCGTCGTTGGCAATACAGTTCTCTGCAAGAACACACATATGCCCACACACGAACAGCCACACACACAATCAGTTTTGTGTAGTTCTCTGATTTATCTAAGTACTTTCTGTGTGTCTAAGCGAGCACCTTCAGGAAGTGCCAAACAGTCAGTGGCACGTGGTTTGAAGTGCTGCATCACTATTAGAGGGGCTACGCTGTTCGTGATGTCTGTGATGTATATGGTGTATGGGTGCCGACCGACGTCCGTCCGTCGGGGCGGTTTCCTGGCTCAGCAGGTGGTAGGAACCAACAGTCTTCGAGGTTCTTCACATTGTCTGAATCGGTGATGAACTACTTTGGTCCATGTTAGATGAGTGGGCTGCCTTGTCTGCGCTCCTTCGTTGCCTCGTGGCTCATCCCACGTCTCATGTCTTTCCTTGCCGCTGGTTGGTTTGCCCTGTGCTGTGGCTGCTTCGCTAGTGTTGAGTCGTGCTTCTCCGCGCTGTTGCCTTGGTGCCTTGTCCTTACATGCCGTGCACTTGCGTGTTGTGTAGTTTGGCTGCTTTGTTAGCGCTGCCTTGTGCCTCACTGCTCTGTTCCCTAGCTACGCATTCGCTTGCCTTACCTTGTCTTTCCTCAATGCATACCTGTCCGCCTTGCAGCTTGGCTGCTTTGTCAGCGCCGCCTTGTGTCTCGCTGCATTATTGCTTTGGTGCTTGTACGGCAGGCTTTATGGGTTCATCGCGGTTCAACGGCTTCACGACCCAAAGCATCAATATGGGGATTCCGGAGATTGTCGAGGGGTCAGTGTCCTGATGAGTCAGTGCACGTCCAACGAAACAATTTATCATCATCGGTTTTATTTTCTTCGCTCGTTGTCTTTCGTTGTTGACATGTTGTTGTGCATTTGTCCAGTTTGACACTTATACTTTGTGCGTCTTCCCTTGCTGCCTTGTGCTGTTTGCCTGCCGACCCGCCTCTTACTTCGTACGTTTTCCCTTGCCGCCTTGTGCTGTTTGTCTGCCCGCCGGCTTTTCTGTGCCCTCCACCCTATGTGCATGGCAGCTGCTCGTTAGTCAATGACCGCCTCAACGCCCTTTGCTTCACTGTCTGTTACCTTACCGCCCTTTGCATCATCGCCTTTTGCATCATCGTCCTTTGCATCATCACCTTTTGCAAACTGCCTTTGCATCATCGCCTTTTGCATGCCGCCTTTGCATCATTGCCTTTTGCCCTCGCAACCTTCTCTTCCCATGCTGCTTGCCTGGTGGCTAGCTGTTCGCTGTCCTGCTGCTTTTTGCCTCGCTGCCTTTTCCCCCGCTGCATCGTGTCCCCGCGACTGGGGGCGCTAGACCCTTTGTCCTTGCTGCTGGTGCTCTTAGCTTTCATATGTTTTGCGATGTAGGTCATTTTGATCTAGCCGTATGAAGTGGACTTTCTTATAACCCTTTCCATACAACTTGGCGCAATTACCATCATGGGGGTTTACCCCGTTTAGTCATCCATCAAATACACAAAGTCAACATATATATGTGTTGAAAACTTAAACCACCAGTACCTCCTCCACGTTTTTAGGCCGTTAACGTGGTGGCTGAATCGGTGCGCAATGTGGGTCCATATGGATTTGGATCAGAGCCTCCCCAGAGGGGGCCTAAGACCCCCTGGGGTACTGGTGGTTTCAGAAGGCAGCAGCTTGCACCCAGAATGTCCTGCCATCCCCTTTCGCACATGGGCTGCCTCAGTACTCAGGCCTAGGCGCATATTTGTGGGCCCGCCTTCACTTTGGGCTGGCAAGGCCTTTTTCCAACACTGCCGAGGGACTCAAATCCTCGCACAACCAGTCTCTGGCAGTATCTGGCAGTCCCAAAACAGTTGCAAGGACTGGAAGCTGGGAGTCCCAACCGAGTCCAGAGAAATAGTGAGCCTGTCACCAGACTCAGTACTGTACCATGCAAGGAGAGCTTTCAGTAGCTCGAAATCTCATACTACTCGTACCCATAATCTATCAGTCTTTGGCACCTGATACACTGTCCCGACCCCCAAGAAAAAAAAACTGAATGACAAACCAGGAGACCCGTGCAATCTGTGGTTGAACCAATCCCTGAAGCCCCATCCCTTTTTTAAAAAAGGGTGGACCATTTCTCGATTTATGCAAGGAAAATGAGCGATAGCGAAATGACAGAATTCCAGAATGCAAAATCACGTTCAAAGCCAGAAAGTCAAACGCTGTTCAGAAAGCAGATATGCACTGATCAACGGAGAACCGAAGCAATGAATCCAAATGTCAATGAGAGCATACTCTCACCACCACCTACGTATGTATCCAGAGCCCTTCCTCTTACTTGGCGCTCAGGGCCAAGACTACGATCACACAGCTACTACCCAGCCTACGAATTGACAATGCAACCTGTTGACGTCAGCAGCAACAACCGAAGTACATGAAGATGTCGACCCTGTAGACCATCACCAAGACCAGGTACGTGCCCTCACGTCAGCATCCTCATCTCTCTCTCTCTCTCCCCCTCGTCTTCTTCGCCCACGTCTTCTTCCACATACACGAAGACCACCACCACCCCACCAGATACACATCCAACCCCAGCCTGGCTATGAAGGCTGGGCTATGGCGCTGCCTCCTGCAGCTCCCTGCTTCTTGCACGACCGCACAAGAACACACCGGCGCCAGCACACGCTCGAGCAGCGCTGCCGCACTCTCACGCAAGTGCCCGACTGTCCCCATTGGCGCCCGGCACTTTCCTATATCGAAAGCGCGGGTGCACTGCCTACTCTTTCCCGTCGGGACCGAGTTTCCAGTAGCTTCACTCTCGGCCAAAGCGTCTGCGCCCAGGCCCGTTCAGACAGTTGCCTAGGACCGAATTGGTTAGGCATGCCCAACCACCCAGGCACAAACGTGTGGTGTACCCCGCTTTCACCACGTTGCTGGAAGAGCCTGGAAGGCTCACAAATATTTTGGATTTTCACGAGCAAGGCGGATGTAACCAACTGGCACGTGGCAACTGTCTGGTGCCCAACAAGATTTGCAATGGGCCCCGCCTTCACTTAGGGCGGCCACGCGTTTGCTGCAGGGGCCTCATGCCGGTATGCCGAGGGTAAAGTCCTCGCATTCATGTGTGCCATCCTTGCACAGGGGCCATGTGATCTTTTTTCTCTGTATTGTTCCAATTTTAATGGACATCCCGGAGGACGACAGAGGTTGGCAATGGCCGACGAAAGCAATCTTGTTTCTTTTTTTTTTTTTTCTTTTCAAATTGTTTGTTTTTCTTTTGGTCCGATTTTTCATTTGATGGTTCCTTAAAGTTGCCCCCAAGGACAAGTTCTGCTGCATCCTCGAGATGGAACACAACAATCAGCCTGTCAAGGGACACCGGGGCTGTTTCCCTGCTTGAAAGGAAAAAAAAAAAAAAAAAAAACCTTCTGCCGCAGGACCATACATTCCAACTAGGCATAATAAACCTAGACTGTCACAACTGCCCTGATCCGACGGTGATGATGTGCCTTCATCAGTATATTTGTGCGATGGTTATCTTCATAAACAGCGCAGTGAGGAGCACATCCCTCCTTCCCCATGTGCACACACAATTTGGTTTGCAGGACAATGCGGCGCATCTGGACACGTATATGAATTTCCAAAATCATACACTGTACGTCCATCACGCGACCCTTGCAACCAGATTAGCTCAACCGAATGCACAACAGAAGCATGGTAGGCAGGGCGGCATTCAGATTGAAAACTACTTGCGCGCATCATCCGAGCTATGGCTGAAGCCAAGCTCGTCGCGAGGTAGTGCTGTCCACACTTGCCGCACTGCTCACGATGCCGACCGAATGCATTTGGATGCATGCATACGTTAGGTGCACTTGTCGCAGCAGACAAATGCAGCCACGCACGTATACACAGCTACATGTGGAGACATGTCGAGAGAGCAGCGCTTCAACTCACTTGCTTTCGCATCTGATCTCCGTTCTATTAATAATCATCAGGCACATCCATACCGTCCGATCGCACACTTACGGTCATCTTATTCCCGCTGTGCGAGCGCATGAACACCATCCATTTTAGCACCTGATGGGTCACTGGAGCCAAAAAAAAAAAAAGGTCACTGGAGCTAACTGCCGGCGTGACAACCAGTAACCACGAGGGAACAACGGCCATACTCCACCGCAGACGATCAGAAAGGTTGACAAACCGGCATCGACATGAGAAAGTCCATTTGCAAGTGATGAACACCAAACCGGCATCCACATGAGAAAGTCAATTTGCAAGGGATGAACACCATAGCATGGTAGCTGCAACCTTCATGGAACACTGTTTCTCTACTGTATACGTACCCTTGAATAGCTGATCAATCATCACTCCCCCCAAAAACTGCACTGCCAATCCACTTCCGCGATTCGCACCAATCTCCCCCAACCCTTCGCAGTGTGCATGTGCATAACCAGGGAACAAGACCACTGGAATGCGGAGGCCAAAGACAAAGGAGTGGCGAAGGACAGAACAGAAATAAGG